CACATCAAATATATATGTATTTTCTTTGCTTCCCATCCAACCTATAGTATACGCACCTATCCATTGTAAGAAAATAAATGTGCGCGAATCGAAGATTAACCAAGTACCCCCCGCGCCCCGCACTCCCCTCTAGCCCCATGGGTTAGAATCCGCCTAGTATACCTACTAATCAATGTAACTATGAATTTATCGGTCATTCTTGTGATATATTTTGTACTTCTCGTTCCAGATAATGAAATTTATTAACAATCTTTTAAAGCAACATAAATTATATCTGGATTTATATAAATATTTTATTGTATGAATCCTGCGAATTTAACCTTTGATCATTTTTGTATTGTTTGAGTAAGTCACTTAGTTGATACAGAATTACAAAATCTTTGACTACCCAGGTAGCAAGCTACGTCATTTTGACGTCGTTTTGACGTCAAATGATGTCTTTTTGACGTCAAATGACGTCAGCTTGCTACCAGGGTATATAACTAATAGTGATTACGTTAAGAAAATGCTTTATTTCTCTTTTATTTATAATAGTCTCGATATAAACTATCTCTTAAACTGCGAACTTTTATATGTCGTACGCAGGAATTCGATTGTGGCGGTCTATTTGACACAACATACATATTTCGAACAACCCGAACGAAGCAAACTTCATGCGGATGCATTTGTTTCCAAGACCTACTTGAAGAGATTCGGAAAAAATTAATTTCTCAAGAAATTAATAGAAGGCGCATTTCGGTAGATCTTCTCGTATTATAAAAACTCTGAACGGCTATATAAAGGCATGGCCAACGGCTTGATTTCGTCTCTTGCAACATACTGCAAGAGCATCCATCCTTTTTGTGGTGTAACCGTGGAGCCTGTCTCTCGTCGTTCACGGATCATTCCCTGGTGGAAGAAATCTTCCTCAGCGAGATCCAGCGAGCCGTTACAGTTTCAAGAGGTTACACCGAGTAATCCAACGGCAACTAAGCAACAGGGCGAATCAACATCCCCTCCAGTGATCTGGCGACTATTTAAGGTGGACAATTCATCGCCGGTCCTCACAAGACCTCCGAGCTTCCTCCTGGCCGGTAACGACCCGAGGGTTAGGAGACCGCTGTCTCCCAGTTATCCGGTACCACCGCCGCTCCTGTCTCCGTTACCAAAATCTCTGAGTGACTTCTCTACGAAGGCAACGCAGACCCTGCCTGTTCCTAGAGTTCACCGAGGAACGCTGAGCCGACCTACCGTAGTTCACCGAGAAACGCAGAGCGACTTAACATCACAGAAACAAACATCTACACCACCAGGATCACCAGCTAGCTACACACCACCAGGATCACCTACTAGCTACACACCACCAGACTCACCTCCTGGATCCTACTCTCTCGACCTTTCACGCAGAAGACTCTGGGGACCTAAGAGATTCACTCAGACAAAACCGACAATCTCTTATAGAGAAAGAATTATATAGTTTTTGTTATAAACGGCCCTTTTCAGGGCCACATAAATTGTAAACATAAAAAACGGTCCTTTTCAGGACCAATTAATTTATAGAAAGTTAAATAAATTATACCAAACGAACACGCTATCAAAAACCCTTCACGATCATCCTCACATGTTGTTGCAAAAAGACACGGGCTACCTGAAGAGCATAGTGCAGGAGACCGGCATGGTGATGGCGGAGGTTCTGGCTTCCGTCGCCCATAACTGCTATCAGAATCGTGGATTTACGGCGTTTTGATGTATCCACGGAGTTAACTTTTTGCAATTGCGTCTGATGAACACCATGATTAGGTTATGAAGATTCCGAGAGTTTTTGCAATTATTAGGCCAAATTCTGTGATTTTAAAAACAAGAAGAAAAGTGGAACGCGCAGTCTGAGAATTTAGAATTCATAATCGTCTACTCTCTCACATATTTATCACATATTCTACATTCTGCTCGCATTGGAATTTTATTTTATTCTATAAATTTTTTTTCTAAAAAATTTATTTAATTCTATAAAATTAAAGGACGTCATGGTTTAGGATATTATAATGCAAATAAAATTTCAAACTAATTAAGTGTTAATTAAGCGAGATACGTAAAGTAGGAAGGTCGGAATTAAAAGTAGGAAGGTCGGAATAGGAAAGGTCGGAATTCAGAAAATTCGAAGCAAATTTGAAGATAAAAAAGAAAACACGTAAATAAATAAGAAGGACAAAGATTATATCAGATTTACGATCTCGGGAATGTTGATAGAGTATTAGAGTATTCAGAACTGACGAAAATGCGTTGGCGGCACATTATAAATTAATAATCGTTCTACTGCAAACTGTACAGTTCCATCTAGTTAATCTTTCATTTTAATAATCACGGATTCTTTCCTACTTTGATGCGCGATTATCGCCAGTTCAGCAAGCAATCAGAAAATTTGTAAAACTCGCATGGATAACGGCGCAACTGTTGTTACAGTATTATTACATTGCATGATAGATTATTTTTATATCAATCTAGACCTAGATATTTCATCAAGAAGTGTAAAACTTAGCCTGTTGGATTATTTATACCTCTTATCGTGAGTAAATTAACATGAACGCGTTTAAGAAAGAATTTTTTTAATATACATATATAGATACTTATAATATATGTGTATACATTGTTACGCTCGCACGTTTCGCATGGAGGACACATTAATCGCATTAAAATAAATGTGCAAAACAGTACAACGGGAATGAGAATTTTATTGAGAAAGGATAGATGTGTTAAAAGCTCAGAACTGTAGGATGTATTATGGATAACACAAACTATAGAAATCAAAGCCTTTAACGGTCTAGCTGGATCTTAATGCTTGTATGATTCTTATGTGAATTTATATACTACGTATGTAGTCCCACAGAAACGCGCGCCGAAAAATTTCCGGTCTTGAAACGCTAACTCTACTAAACTACCGCAGTAATATCAC